TGTCGCGGAGCTAGACTCGACGCGACCAGGCAACGCCTACAACAAAGAAACTAATACGATCTAACCCAAGGGCGGCGAGCGCGAAGGCTTGCTAACGCCGAGCGTAGACTTTCAAGTCAAATCTAGCCCAAGGACCAAGTTAATATTATGCTGACTAAGAGAATACAAAGGACGGCTTACCTAGCCCAAGGACCAAGAGGTCAAGATGAGGGCTAGGGTCGCTACAGGTGGGGTTTATATACTGAGTCAGGGGAGCCAAACATGTACAAACGTAAAGGTGGTCTGTGCGCACATTAGTGCCAGTCTGCAGGTGGGGGTCAGGTGACTGGTCACATGCTTCTAACTACTGGTTCTAAGTCTAAGTGTCGTACGAATGGCCGTAGAAAATAAGGAAAAATGCGGAAAAATATAGGGGTCTCGTCGTCTCCACGACAGTCTCGGACAATCCGGGTGCCCTCAACGTACACCGCAAGCCCGCAGATCACGACGCGTGCCGACGCGAGACCGATGCCCTGCGAACGAGGATCTCCGCGATGGGGTCTCAGTTGGAACATTTTGCGTCTCGGAACACCGAGATGGCGGCGGAAAATGCTGGTCTTTCGGCCCGAGTAGAGACCATGTCGGCACAGATGGCGACCATGTCGGCCCAGATGGCAACCGTGCTGGCCGCGCGACTGGAGGACCCTCCCGCCATGCAAGGTATGCAACCAGTGTGCTGATGTCGTATGTTTGCTTACTTTGCAAATACTTCGGTATGTTCTAGGTCCCTACGCCACAAGGGATTCTCGTCTGTCGAAGAGAGCTTCCTTGCGCAACCGCCGAGATGGTAGATGCGTCCTGATGTAAATTACGTGCGGTGTACAGACCGATGCTCGCTGTAGTATTCTCGTCAAATTTTCGGCGGTCACTATCCCACTCTGTGTCACCACGGCGTACCCTGATATTTTCAGACAGCTGAGACCGATCATTGCAGGATGATATCCTAGTGCATTCACTGGTGGATACGTTTTCGAATGTTTACCGGGCCCGGGTGGACCTGTAGAACCATGACGGTCGTACCAAAACACACTGATAGCCCAGAACTAGCTAATCAAGCACCACAGCTGCGACCGCCGAAATTGGTCGCAGACATAGCGATGTTTCCTTCGTCATGAATGATCCGAATTTAGGCAGATGGCGAGGAGATCGCACAACAGCGGATCACCGACGCCGAACCCCCTGGTGAGCTATATTGGACGTCGTATAAGGCGGAGAGAGATATTCACGCTTTCTTACAGCATTATGGTGGATTTTGGAAATAGGGCGCATATCCTGCCTACGATCCGGTTTCGAAATGTGCGACAAGGGACGCGTTGATACGATGTAAGTGCACGGTATTTTGGCCACGATGCGTATGATGAACTCTGAACCTGGAAGGCTGTAAGCCGCACAAAGAGAGGTCTTCAGTCTGTGAGAGAACGACTATGATTGCATAGTACTGTACCTGTAAGCCGCACAAAGAGAGGCTACAAGTACTAGTAAGTAAACATGTAAGGAAGCATAGGTAGTATGGGACTTACTCTTCAGTCTGTGAGAGAACGACTGAAGAGCAGAGGCCTGCAGAGTCCTCCTTATATACTACTGGGGAGGACGATGAGTAAGCGTATAGGAAGAGGGCATGTGACGTCCAGAGGACGCTGACTGAGCGATGAGTAACGCTGAGTAAGGGAGCATAATCGACATAAGGTCAGATAGTCCATGGCTGAGTAATGCGAGTAATCCGGA